AGGGTGTGGTGTGAAGGGGCAGCCCAGAAGCAGGAGGGGAACTGGAGGCAAGGGGCCTCCACAGGGCCCAGGATGGGCAGGAGGAGCCGCTGCCGGTTCCATGCCACTGAGAGTCCAGTGAGGGTGAGGGGAGGTGCAGGGTGGCCACGCCCAGAGGGGTCACTGCCAGCAAACTTGGGGTGGAGGCTGAACACAGTCACCTGCGCCTAGGGTGAGCACTCCACCTCCACAGGAGTCGCTGCCAGGGGCTACCACTCACCATGGCTGTTTCCTCCACCCATCCTGCTCTCAGGGACTGCCAGCCAGGGGGCACAGCTGCATGTGTGTGAACCGTCGGCGTAAGGAAGGGCTGCCCGTCTCCCTGTCTCCATCACGCCTGTTTCACTCTGTGCCCTCACACAGCATCACATGACCTTTGGTGTTGGCTGTGGGAGGCTGTTTCAGGCTGGCTGCGGTGTCCCTCCGGTGTCAGGTTTTCTGCCTTGGGGCTGCCACGTGCTCAGGCTCATCTGTGCTTCCCCACCCAGAATTTGCCATTTCTCCATGGAACCCTAGTTCCTTCTGTTTTTGAGCCATTGGGTAGAAAGGAGATAAAAGGCCATGTGAGTTATTGCCCAACTGTATGCTCAACATAGACAACAAGGTGGTGTGGAAATGTCAAGGGAGTCAGCTGCACAGTCCTAACTGCTCTCAGCCAGGTCACTCCTGCAACAGGCAATTTTCAACGTCATAAAATTAGGGACCTAATGGTGTTGCTGTGAAAATGCCAAATTGAGTACATGTATGTGAATACAGCTGCTCATTCCGTTCTCTAAAACCGCCAGGACACAGAAGGGCACCCACATACCCTGGGAGTTGGAGTTGCGGGAAGTAGAAGATGCCCAGGGCCCAGCCCGGCCATCGGCTGGAGGGGTGCCTGGCCTTGGCTCTGGTCTTCTTGAAGCTGCTAGAGCCTTCGGTCACCCACCAGCAGTCCAGGAGGGCAGACCCCATCCACAATGGCGAGAACCTTCCAATCCAGGTGCCAAGAACACCCCAGTGCTTGACTTCTGGGTGACTTTGTTAGGAGATGGGGGCACAGGGCATACCTGGGCTGGCTGGTCCCTGAGGCCCCTTCCTGTGCACAGCTGCTGTGGTTTGCAAAGCAGCCCTCTGTGCTCCCCAGGAGCAGCCTCCCTTCCCATGTGCAGGCGGTAAAGGAAGGGGCCGCCTGCCCTGCTTCCTCAGCTGAAGAGTCTCTGAGACCCAGATGTGGAGACCAGGCCTGGCAGGCGAAGTGCCCTCACCTGGAGTCCAGGTCTGTGCTGCTCACGGTGCATGATCCCTGAAGGCACACTTGGTGCTGGAACAGGCCCTGGAGAGGGAGGTGCCCAGCCGAGTGTGGAGTCTGCCCCAGGGCGGTTTCTCCAACAGGGCAGACATTGTGTGTTAGGACTAGCCTTCCCTGGGCAGAGGCAGGAGCCAGGGTGAGGCTGGCAGCCAGTGGGAGGCCAGCTGTCCAGGGTCCCAAGGGCCACTGTGGAGTTTCCTGGGCAACCTGGGAGTTTTCCTCCCCAGGGGCTCTGAAGCAGTAAATAGGGGAGAGTGTGGAATTTGTTTATCCCCACTTCTGGCACAGGGCCATGCAGGGAGACCGCCTACGATGCAGTTCCCTCTCGGAGAACCACCTCTGCTGCTGGCCCCTCCCGGCCCAGCTGCTACTGGTCAGGTGCCTGCTAGTATTGCAGCATAGTGCCAGGCGTTCACAGAGCTCATGTCCCAAGGATGGCAACACCAACAAAGGAGCAGACAAGCAACAGGACTTGGTGGCAGAGGACAGGGCTGGCATCTATATTCATCTGTTCTCATGCTGCTAATAAAGACATACCCGAGACTGTGTAATTTACAGAGGAAAGAGGTTTCATGGATTCACAGTTCCACATGACTGGGGAGGCCTCACAATCACGGTGAAGATGCAGGAAGAGCAAAGGAACGTCTTACATGGCGCAGGCAAGGAAAGCATGTGCAGGGAAACTCTGGTTTAGAAAACCATCAGATATCCTGAGAGTTACTATCACGAGAACAGCCTCCACGATTCAATTACCTCCCACTTGGTCCCTCCCATGACCTGTAGGAATTGTGGGAGTTATAATTCAAGATGAGATTTGGGTGGGGACACAGCCAAACCATATCAGCATCCATCAGGAAGACCTCACTGAAGGAGGACTTGAGAACTGTGGAAGGAAAATAAAATCTCAGGAGCCCAAACCCACTCTGATGAAGAGTTCAGCTTGGGAACAAAGTCACACAAAGGCAACCTTCCTTTTGGTCCTAAGCAGACGGCTGCAGACAGAAGGCCATGAGTCTCCCGAGGGGTCTCCCTCACCAGCTGCCCACAGGGAAATGCCCTCTGCGCCCCAAAGTTTGTGCCCTAAGGCAGTGTCCTGCTGGATCTCACCCTGCCAGTGTAAATAAACGGCTTATCTTCACAGGTACAGTACTAAGACAAGACCAAAAGCCATCCCTCTTCCACCCAGCCCGAGACACACTCATGTCTTCCTCTGCTTAAAAGTCCTCAAAACTGTCTTTGGTGAAAGTCCCAGGCCACAGGTCCTACAATAACTTCTGTATCGTTTTCCCTGGTGAGTCCTCAACCTTAGCTAAATGAACCTCTGGATGGACTGAAATCTTCCATGGTCCCATTTTGGTTGGCAGATCAGAGACGGCAGGAAGGTGAGAGAGTTCCATGAGTCTCCCTGGAGAATGGCCCGCAAGGCAGGACTGCAGGGTGAGGCTGAGTATTGGCAGTCAGTGGGAAGGGTGTGGGAATGGGGGAGGCCTGGCTTGGCTGTGGGGGAAGCCCAACCCCTGCCCTCAATCCCCTCCCTCTGCGAGCCTTTCCCACATGACACCTCTGTCAACACTGGGGAGCAAGGCTCCAGGGGGAAGCACATCCAGGGCTCATGGGTCCAAGAGTGGCAGAGAAGCCAGCACCAGGGCTTGAGGCTTTCTGGTTACTGGTAGGTGCTGGCTCCTGTCAATAAGAGCCTTCTGAAGGCTTTGGAGAGTGTCTGCAGGGTGGTGTTCTTCTGAAGGCTTTGGAGAGTGTCTGGACTGCAGGACGGTGTCCTTCTGAAGGCTTTGAAGAAATTCTTCCTTGTCTTTTCTAGGCCACTTTCCTTATCGTTTTTTAATCTTTATTTATAATTGACACATAATAGTTGTACATATCTATAGGATACAGTATGATGCTTCAATACATGTATACATTATATAATGATCAAACCAGGGTAATTAGCATATCCATCACTGTAAACATTTATCATTTTGTGATAACATTCAAAATCCTGTCTTCCAGCTATCTGGAAAGACACATTATTATTAGCTGTAGTCACCCTACTGTTAACAGAACATCAACATTTATTCCTCCTGTCTGACTGTAACTTCGCATACCTGTTGACCAGCCTCTCTTCATCCCAGCATCAGGGCTGAGGAGCTTTTATTTTATTCTCTATTTTCTGAAACAACCTGTACAAGTTAGAAATCAAGTGCTCCTTAAAATTAGGTATAATTCACCCATAAAAATGTGAGAACTTTGTTTGATTGTCATTTAAATTTCTTTAGTTTGTATTGGCCTATCCAGGTTCTCTATTTCTTCTCAAGTCTATTTTGGTACTTTGGATTTTCCCAGGAAGTTATCAGTGTCACCTAAGCTTTCAAACATGTTAGCATGTGGTTTCCCACAGTACTCTAACTTTTCTCCTTGGTTGTATCTATGGCTATTTCTTATCTATATATCCATCCATCTATATTTATTTTTATTTATTTATTCACTCATTCATTCTTTCCTGTATTCTGTTCCATCGACCGTCACCAGTATCACCCCTCCATTTCTTTATCCAGAGATCTAACTACAGACTCTAAAACACAAAACAGCTTTTAGCTCTGCTAATTTTCTATTTTTCTGTGCTCTCTATTTCATTGATTCCTGCCATTTCCTGTATTCTTTCCTGCCTTATGGATCCTTGGGCTTTCTTCCTTGCTCTTTTTTCAGCTTCTGGAGTTAATTTTTCATGCTTCTTAACACGTGTGTTTATAGCTACAAATGTCCTTCTAAGCACTGCTTTAGCTGTGTCAGGCTAATTTAGACATATACTGCTTCATAATCACTCAGCCCTAAAGTTCTTGCATTTCTTTTATGATTTTATTTCTAACAAGAAGTTTTTATAGCATATTTATATAAGCTATTCCTTTATGATTAATTTCCAGTTTAATTGAATTATGCTCTCCACATATTGTGTTATAGATGGACTTTCCCTGTATGCATACATCCCTATGTTATAGACAGACTCACCTGTAACATCCTAGTTTTGTATGTTCTCTGTATGCTTACAAAGTAACATGTAGAGTTCAAAATATACCTAACAGCTCAAACTTAATTATTATGTTGCTTAAGATATTAATACTCCCGCTTGTTTTTTGTTGACCTACTTCTTTGAGAGATGTGTTAAAATCACCAAACAACTGCTCCTTCATCCAACTTTGCTTGCAATTGTATCAATACAAGTTCATGGTAACAGCTCAAGCCACAGGGTATCACCAGGCCACCAAAACAGCACCCCGACTCTTCATGCTTTCATCACCTACTGTTTCCAGACACCTGAAGATGCTCTTTCAGCCCCCAGCACAGCCTTCGTGTCCTTCATTTCCTGAAACCTGTGCTTCCCTGGTGTCTCAGGGCTGGCTCCAGGGCAGAGCCAGAAGGCCATGCGAGAACCACCTGGCCTGGAACTGGACCCCAAGGTGTTCAACCACAACCAGCTCACTGCTACCAAAACCAGGGACTCCTGATTTCCCACAGTCATATACAGAATAGGCCTCAGAGCGCATTGTGGACTGAAGCAGGGTGAAATACAGTACTGTGTCACTTCTAACATCCTTCATTTGTCAAGGGTAAGTTGTCTTTGCTATATACATTCTTGGTAAACAAACAAACATGGAAACAAAAGACAGTAACTCACCTTCCCCCATAAGCAGGCTATAAGGGTTAGAGCAGATCCATAGACAGCAACAGTTCAGATGTATTGAACTCAGAGCATCATAACCAGAGCAGGGTGACTTACAGAAGGGTTGACTTCTGTCGTGTAGCCCACCTACCTAAAACACAAAAACACAGGGCTGTGTGAGCATTGCTGGCACAGGGCCTGTCCATCACCACTGGGCTTCAGTGGAACTGCCTCTTGCCTTCAACAGAGCAGTAAACACGTCTTTAGCATGTTTAAGTATGGAGACGAAGTGCCTGCAAGCACTCACCCTGGCGCTATTCCCCCCATACTCCAGATGAGGCGACTCAACACAAAGGCAGGCTTCCATTCCCAAGTGAGAAGTCTATATGAAATGTTTTGATAAAATTGTACTTAGTATATTTGCTTACATGTACACTGATTTTTTTTTCATGTTTTTACACTGTACACTATTTTAAAACAATATTTATTATATATTAATTTAAACACATTGCTGGTTTTCTAATTTCACTGATAGTGAATGGATTTCATCTAATTTCTTCAATTTCAGCATGTTCTTAGAGGAGAGACTTGGAAAAAGAAGGCACATCTGGGGCTGGATGTGGTGGCTCACGCCTGTAATCCCAGTACTTTGGGAGGCTGAGGTTAGAGGATCACTTAAGGTCAGTAGTTTGAGACCAGCCTGGCTAACATGGTGAAACCCCATCTCTACTAAAAATACAAAAATTAGCCAGGTATGGTGGTGGGCGTCTGTAATCTCAGCTACTTGGGAGACTGAGGCAGGAGAATTACTTGAACCCAGGTGGTGGAGGTTGCAGTGAGCCGAGATCACATCACTGCACTGCAGCCTGGGTGACAGAGTGAGTGAGACTCTCTGTCTTAAAAAAAAAAAAAAAGAATATTTGGAACCTTGGGAGGAAAAGGGAAGGAAGGATGGAAGGAAAGAGTGGAAATTCAGTTTCCTACGGAAATAAAAGCATAGCAAGGCATAAGAAGAAGACACATATTTAATCCATCTCCAAATGCACCATTTGGTATTCTTTCTCTAAAAAAAAAAACAAAACTATGTTTTTTGCTGACCCACAAAAAAGGATGCTATTGGACAAAGAAACCTGGTAACCCACCGCATGTCACTCGGCACGTCCTGTTCCCAGCTAGAAACACCTGTTACTGCGAGTGCAGGAAAATCCAAATGCTTTTAAAATAAAAATAGAAAACAAAGGCATGCAAAATCCCTTTGAGTAAAGGATCTTCTCCAAGTAGCAGACCCTCCTGAAGTCCATCACGGTTCTGGGAGAAGGAAACAGGATGTAGGCACTAAAACTTCTTCAGCTGATGGAACTGAGAACTCCCACACAGCACTGTAGCACAGAGTGAAATGAGTGAAAGCTGTGCAGGTGTGAGAAACACCAGAAGTGAAACACCAAACATACCAAGAATACAAATGCAGAGTTAAAACAAGAAACTATGATAATTAATTTTACCTATGAAAAAAATTAATGAGAACAACACAATTGGCCTAGAAATGAGACTAAGTTACAAGGTACCAAAAGAGAGGATTCAGCAGAAAGCAAGGCAGGAGAATAGGGCCTGGAGGCAGGGAACATGAGGCCAAGCCAGCCTGACTTCCTACAACTCAATCAAGTGAAAGCTCCTCAGCAACCACAGGGATGTGAATGGCTCTGCAGCGTCACTCATCCTCTCCCCTGATGCCATTTACACTCTAACTACATGTGCATTCTCTCCATTTACCTAGACCACGTACTCCAAATAACATCCTCTCCATTTGCAATAGGGCACATTCTGAGTAAATGACTCTGTGACTTCACTTCATTCTCTTCATTTTCACTGAATATTCGCCAGGTACCCAATGGGAAACTTGTGGAGTACTGAAACCCCAGAGGATTCTGTGAGTGCGGCTCTCCCACACTTGCGTGTACTTCTGTTCTCAAGTAAATGCCTGCTTTTGCTTTCCTTGCTTTGTTTGTGTGTTTTGTCCAATCCTTTGTTCGAGAAGCCAAGAACCTGGACACCCTCTACCGGTAACAACTGCATAAGGGACACTGCAGGAGGACTGAGCGTGTCCAAGAGAACATGAGGCTGACAAGAGGTTAGAGACGTGCAGAGAAGCTGCCAGATGCAGAGCCCAGGCCACAAGGATCCAAGAAACACAGACTGGAGTTCCCAAAAGAGAAAAGCAAAACCACAAAACAGAACTCATACTTAAAATCCTAGAAATGTTCTTAGGAAGAAAATAATCTACAAGTTGAAAGGCTCATCGTGTACTTGAACAAACTGACCCAGAATGGTTGCCCTGAAGGCAGAGCCCAGTAAATGATGAAAATGGAAGAGAAAATTCTCTGGGACTCCAGGCAAAAAGGCCAGCTCATTCACAAAGGAAAGAAAATCAGATGGGGATCGGACTTCCTGACTACCATGTATAAGATAAGTGAACAGTGGAGCGATATTTTCATAAATTCAAGTAAAAATAAAGTGTGACCAAAGGACTTTATGTCAGCCAAACTATCTTTCAAAACTAAAGCTAAATAGAAATAGTTTTAAATATCCAAGAACTCAATGAACATTTTGTTTCTAGGCCCTTCATGAGAAACCTGCTACAAAAGAATCTCCCTCAAATCAAGAGATCACTGGGAATTTTGACATAAACAAAAATAACCAATGTGTTGATCAAAGACTAAAACAAAGAGTGAGGACAAGGATGGAGGTGGGGATGAGGATGGAGGTGGGGATGGAGGTGAGGATGGAGGTGGGGATGGAGGTAAGAGTAGAGGTGGGGATTGAGGGGAGATGGAAGTGGGGATGGGGATGGAGGTGGGCATGGAGGTGGGGATGGAGGTAAGAGTAGAGGTGGGGATTGAGGGGAGATGGAGGTGGGGATGGAGGTGGAGATGGAGGTGGAGATGGGGATGGGGATGGAGGTGGGGATGGAGGTGAGGATGGAGATGAGGATGGAAGTGGGGATTGAGGGGAGATGGAAGTGGGGATGGGGATGGAGGTGGGCATGGAGGTGGGGATGGAGGTAAGAGTAGAGGTGGGGATTGAGGGGAGATGGAGGTGGGGATGGAGGTGGGGATGGAGGTGGAGATGGGGATGGGGATGGAGGTGGGGATGGAGGTGAGGATGGAGATGAGGATGGAAGTGGGGATTGAGGGGAGATGGAGGTGGGGATGGGGATGGAGGTGAGGATGGAGGTGGGGATGGAGGTAAGAGTAGAGGTGGGGATTGAGGGGAGATGGAGGTGGGGATGGAGGTGGAGATGGGGATGGAGGTGAGGATGGAGATGAGCATGGAAGTGGGGATTGAGGGGAGATGGAGGTGGGGATGGGGATAGAGGTGAGGATGGAGGTGGGGATGGAGGTAGGGACAAGGATGGAAGTGGGGACGGAGGTGGGGATGGAGGTGAGGATGGAGTTGAGGATGGAGGTAAGAACGATGATGGAAGTGAGGTAAGAAACAGCTTCTTACTGGGAGCATGCTGTTCTGCAAAAGTAAAAATACAGTAAATCAGAGGTAAATGAATTTAAAAAAAATGAAGAATAAGCTCACAGACTGAAGCATGAGAAATAGGTGGGGGGAAAGAATCCCACCAGACAAGCCAAATGACGAGGTCAGAGGAAGAAATAGAGGACTAGGCCTGGTGCAGTGGATCACGCCTGTAATCCCAGCACTTTGGGAGGCCGAGGTGGGTGGATCACGAGGTCAAGAGATCAAGACCATCCTGGCCAACATGGTGAAACCCCATCTCTACTAAAAATACAAAAATAGCTGGATGTGGTGGTGCACGCCTGTAATCCCAGCTATTTGGGAGGCTGAGGCAGGAGAATCGCTTAAACCCAGGAGGTGGAGGTTGCACTGTGTTGAGATTTCACCACTGCACTCCAGCCTGGTGACAAAGCGAGACTTCATCTAAAACAAACAAACAAACAAACAAAAAACAAACCAAAAAAACAGAGGACTAAGGTGCTAACAGCAGCTAAAGGGACAAAACATAGACCTTCCTAAATGCCAAAAACAATAGAAAAAGATAAGCAAAGACACAAACTACATTTAAAAAACAGATGCACAATAAATAAAACACAACACACACATTAAATACAGGAACAAGTTATGTGGCAGCTGAGACTGGACATAGCGGTCCGAGCAACAATAAGTGTGAGTGGTTTTGGCCCTATGAAATCTTCCACTCGGCTCACAAAGCCAGCTCTGCTTTACACAAGAGACACGACAACTGCCAAGCGATTTGAAAAGGCTAAATGTCAAGAAATGAGCTAAAGCACGTCAGGCAAATGCACCAGGCTGAAGAGCATGGGTTGAAATCTGCCTGTCAGACAAGGCCCAGCCTCACCTCAAAGCAGGAAGCAAGACCAAGAAGGGCACTTCCTGATGCTGGAGGACCCTGTGCACGATGAGGCCACATGAGTTAAGAACCTACTAGAACCCCCAAACACAGAAGCTGGCTTTCTAATGCAGAAACTATAGGTGTTGGGGAAAGAAACAGAAACGTAAGAATAGCAATTATTAACACTGACTGTCAGCCATGGCAAGGTAAGAGGTAACTCAACATGAAAAGTAACTCAACATGAAAGAGAGCTACAACAGGACCAGGTCTTAGGGACATTACATCAAACTTTGTACTCTAATAATAGAGATTATACTTTCTTCTTAAGCATACTTGAAACTTTCATTTAAAAAAAATCTAGCTTGTATTAGGGCACAAATAAAACTTCAGTAAGTTACATGAAATACAAGTGGCACAGAGAGCAGACAGCAGTCTCTGCTAACAATGCAATACCAGAAAATAATGAACTTTAGCCAAAGGGTATTTCACTGGAAAATTTACATCATTGTAGAAACACTGAAGGGGAACTGGTTCATAACATATATCTATGCATACAGATATCCCCCTAGTAAGTCCCTAAATTGGTAAGGAACACCATGAGACCAGACTGGAGAGAATGGCGTGACAGACTGACACACTCCTGCAGTGACCCGCTTCTTCCAACCTCATGCACATGTGCAGGGGAGCCTGAGAGCAGGTCCCTGACAGAGCCAGATACGAATGAGACAGAATCTCCACATGGAAATGCTCTGCAGCTCCCTTTTCAGGGGGGA